GTCACTCGCTGAAGCCAAAATTCGCATTTAGAGAACTTTGCATATAATTTTTCATGTCTAAGGGTCTCAAGAACGGCCCTCAGATGCTCTTCATGCTCCTTCTGGCTTTTGGAATAGATAAGGATATCATCAATGAATACAATAACGAACTGATCGAGAAAAGGATGAAATACACGGTTCATCAAGTCCATGAATACTGATGGGGCATTACTGAGGCCAAACGGCATAACCACAAACTCGAAGTGACCGTATCTCGTACGAAACGCTGTCTTAGGTATATCTGACTCCTTGATTTTCAGCTGATGGTAGCCTGACCGCAAATCAATCTTGGAAAATACGCAGGCACCCCTCAACTGATCAAATAAATCATCGATCCTGGGAAGCGGATATTTATTCTTGATCGTCAATGGTTAAGTCCCGGTAGTCGATACACATACGCATATATCCGTCCTTCTTCTTGACAAAGAAAATGGGTGCTCCCCAAGGTGAGACGCTCGGTCAAATAAAACCGAGATTCAGCAACTCTTGAATTTGGGTCTTTAATTCCTGTAATTCTTTAGGTGCCATTCGATACGACATCTTAGAAACGGGTCTGGCTCCAGGGATAAGATCGATAGAAAATTCCACCTGTCGGCTAGGTGGACCTCTGGGAAGCTGATCCGGGAACACGTCCACAAACTCACGAACAATGGGAATGTCATGAGGTGACCGTGCTTTTGGCTCATCTCCAACAAGGCTCACAAGGTAACCCTGGCAATCACCCCGTCGAAGAATCCTCCTGGCTTTCGCCATAGAAATAATATGGGGCAGAGTACGAGTCCTGAAGCTGAAATAAGTGATCTGATCATCTCCCAGAAGATAAAGAGTAATCTCCCGGTCATGACATCGGATATCTGCGTGAAAACGTGTTAGCCAATCCATACCGAGTATGAGGTCAAAATCCCTCATCTCGATAACATAAGCATCAGAAGTCAAAATACGGCCGCCGATGGAAAGGCTGAGATCGGTGGCCCTGGCATGAGTCACTATCTTTCGTCCCGAGGCTAAACTCACCTCGAGAGGATCGACAATAGTAAGAGAATGAACTCCTATAGCTTCGAGACATCGGCGTGATATAAAATAATGGGTCGCTCCGGTGTCAAATAAGGCATAAACAGGCACATCATTAAGAACAATCATCCGAGACATGGTACCACGGTGCTGGTCTGCCTCTCTCTGATCAACTGCAAAGACGCGGGCCTGATGTCTGCCGCGTTGCTGTTGCTGGGGTCGTGGTGGCTGTTGTCGAGGTTGATGCTGTTGTTGAGGTTGCTGAGGTGGTTGTCGTTGTTGTTGCAGTCGTTATGGGCAATTGGGGCTGATATGACCTGGCAAGCGACAAAAGAAACAGATGTTCTGACCCACAAGGCATTCTCCACGGTGGCATTTTCCACATGTCGGGCAGTTAGGTATTTGTCTGGGGTGATTCCTTCGATCATCTGGGCCTCCTCTGAACTTCCTCTTCTTCTGATTCTTTGATGGTTGGCCAACGTTGGGCTGGGCTGGTGGCTGAGCAACTGGCTGGGCTAAAGTCAGATTAGCTTCTCGTCGAATGCTGGCATCTATCTCCTGGGTAATGGCAACTGTGCGGGCGTAGGTCTGGACACCGTGACCTATGATGTTGTGGCGGACTGCTGGGAGAAGTCCGTCGGTAAAACGAAGAGCTCTCTTCTCCTCTGTACTCACAAGATCAGGTACAAAGGATCCGAGTCGGGTAAACTCTCTCTCGTACTCGTCAACAGAACGAGTACCCTGTCTGAGTGCCAGGAATTGGCGCTCCATATCTGCTCGGTAATACGAAGGATAGTACTTCCTGCGGATCAACTCCTTGAATTGGTCCCATGTACAGTTTTCTTTCTCGCCGGGAAGCATACTCCAATGGGCATTCCACCAGAGTCGGGCATCACCGATCAGCTGGATTTATGCGCATATTACGCGATAATGATCCGGACAGTCCATGACCTCGAAAATCATTTCAAGTCCCTGAACCCATTCGTCCACTATACGCGGATCTCCTTGGCCGAAAAACTTTTTTGGATGGTAGTCGCGAAAGTGTGCAACTACTGTGGCCTGAGGGAGCTCCTGATGACCTGGTTCTCTACAAGGCGGCATCTGAACATTGAAAAGATCAACGTAATCAGACGCAGACATGATAAAGTACTTTACTGATTATTAATGCGCACAGATCTCTTGACGAGTTGCTAATATTAACCCGAGAAAACTAAAGTCGAAATATCAAATAACTAGGACAATCGACTTACACTAGATCACTAATTCGAGCATCTTACTGGTTTCTAGGGTTAAATATCTGACACCCTTTACTGAGCATATACTAAAGCATCCGTTTAAATATATAAACTGTAACTTTGCACTTACCTGGTAGTCGGCGAGTCGTGAGCGTAGCGTGGTCGGTTTTTCTGAAATTTTTCTGACTTAATAACATATTCAGATACACAAAAACATGCTCTGATACTATTTGTAACACCCCACTAGCTTATTAAAATCAGAGTGCAATTTTCGCTAATTCTTTTCTAAGAAATACGTATTAGTTTGCGAAAACATGATTTGGGATGCTTCAGAGAATACATTTCTTTCTGAAAATCCGTTAACTTAGTTAAATTGAACTTATTTAGAAAAACGGATTATCCTTTATTTGTGCGTCATACTGTATAAATCCGACCAATGGTTCGGATCAAAATTCAAGAACTGACATGCCAGATTGAAAGTCTGAAAACATCAGCGGAAGTCAAAATGGCAAATAATATACATATCATAAGTCTGCAAAAACATATTTACTGGACCAACAACCACCTGCCCCGCTCACTCCTCCGGGCCGACCCTGTCACCTGAAAAAGATCATAAAGTGAGAGCGTGAGCACTGAAGCCACTGTGCTCCGCAGAAACTCATACTAAGTAAACATTAATAATAACAACATCATGGCTGCAGGTATATATAAGTAAGCTGTAATCTTCAGACACAAAGTCTGTAACTGAGCTGAACTTTCTCGGACACTATGTCCGCTATGTGCACACTCTGATGGATACTTAAGGCCTTGCGCTTCCATCAGAACTTTGGATGGACAATTAAGGCTATTGCGCCTCCACCCAAAGTGGATAATCTCATATACATACCTTTAAACGTGGCTGGGTAATTATAATCAATGTAATACTTAGTCTGAATTCCCACCTGAACTGCTAAACTGTAAGTGCTGCTGCTGATCAATCTGTAAAATATA